TTTAGGGTTTAGGGTTGAGGGATCTCACCTACAGGAAATCAGCAGTAAACAATAAACCATCATCATGATCAAAACATAGAGGCTTCGCTTCATTATGGGCGTCGATAGTGACGTCAATGCTCGCTCATGGTTCTGCCAGAAACTCTTCCCCTCTACGCTCCCTCAACCCCAACCCGAATCCCAAGCGTCTTGGGTTCCTGCCCAGCTCGCGGCAGCCTCCCACCTACGAATAGCAGGAATTGCCATTTTTCTCTACGGTCTCTGGGGCCCGGCCCTTGAAGCTGGAACCTCGGAACTTGGGTGCAGGTTCAAGTCATGGGCAGTTCAGTCTTTTAGACTCGGCGGATGCTTTGCGGTGTACCGTGGGCGATGTCAGACCTCGCTTCTAAGAACTACGGTGGCTTCGGGGACTCTGATGTAGACAGAGCAAAAAGATGAGCGCCAGTTCATGCACTAGGAGGCCTGCTTGGCGTTGAGTACCGTCTTGAAGGGCGACCATGTGCCACGCAACACATCAAGTCCAGTGAAACCTCCAGTGGTAGGTCCCAAGCTCGGGGTCTCCCCGACAATGTACTGTAACATCCGCACCCCACAATTGCCAAAACAGCATGCGACTTGCTTAGGCCAAGGCCCCACCGAGCGTGGCGACCTGACCATAATCACGCTAAGCTTGTGACAAACTCGCTTACAAACAGTCCGCCTACTGTGTCGAACAGGTCTGGCAAGCCTATCGGGGGGGGCCCGTGAATTTGCGCGCTTTCTGCAGGCGATCGAAGTTTGCAAAATACCCTGGGCATATGTTCGCGCTTTTTGCAGCTATGTTGGCGAGTGTGTCATTTAGGAGAAAAGGTCTGCCCGAAGCAATCGCTCGTCAGGCACCTCCATGTCCTCGGATGCTAGGTTTGGGTCCCAAATGCTGGTGGGGATTTGGGATTTTTAGTCAGGCCGGGGCTTGCTTTTAAGCTGCCAGCGTTTTCGTCCGGTTGCTTGCCGTGCAAAAGCAACCTTTGAATCCTTGCTTGGGCCACTATGAATTCTTAATGTGTAAAGCTATAGCCCACAGCATGTGCAAGTGCAATCGTGCCCGTTATGCAGACCCGCAAAAATCGTTACATTCGTTCGTAGCTGTATAGGGGACTTGGACAGACGCCAGAAAAAACGCTACATCGGAGAACCCTACTAAACGCAATCCCTGCGCCTTGAACACAAATAGTACGGGGCTCTGCACCTATGCCCTGGGCTCTGGTTGCCACGCTTTCACGGAGCTTCATCGCTGTCCACACTTAGATGTTTACCCTGTTAGTGCAAAACACCAGGTCGGAGCGGCCCGGACCAGAAAAACTCCTTAATTAAAGAACTTGGTGTAAATTAAAGGCTTTTGTGCGCTTTTAGCGCTTTTTTCCTTCATTAAGGTTTTTTGTTTAACATATTTCATACAAAAACACACATTAGATACATATACACTTATACACATGTGTATTCCGAATGCCCAACTGCCACCCGAGAGACACTGCTGTTGTGTGTGTGTGTGTGTCATGGTCGGGAGCAGGGGCCCCCCGATGCGAAGGACGAGACCACAAGCGGATGCATATACAAGATCGCTAACACAATCCTGGGATTCAGTTTGGAACTCCCTTTCGACGAGGGTAGCACCCTGGAAGAGAAGTCCATGTACTGCAGAATTTGTCAGGGTTTCTGCAATTTATTGTGTGTAGGCTCTTGAAAACTCTGATGCGGACAGGTCTCAACCCTCCTGCCCCCTGTGCCATACTAGCCGTCGCTGATTCGGGCAATGTTGTGAGCTTCGCAGCGAAACCCTGTCTTTCCGCACATCCCGAGCCAAGTTGGGAAAGCCTCGCTGGAAAAGCCTCCCATGGCCCTCGCCTACACCGGCTCCTTTAATGATGCTTGCAATCGAGCATCGGCCTCGGCGAAGCTTGCTGAGGTCCTGCCAATGTTGATTGGACTCCGCACCACGACTACTGCAAACCCCTTCTCGCAAAGCAGCATTAACATTAAGGCCTCAATACAAAAAAAGTCGCGCAAGGCTTTTCAGCATCCTATCTCAGTAGAAACTGTCTGTCCCGGCCTTGCGCGTGCGGCTGGTGTACGCCTTCTTGAGCACGCCTCGCCAGCCCGGGTAGAGCCGGTCTGCATCCTCCGGATGTGTGAGGAAGGCGCCCCGGAGCTCCTTATGGATCTTGGCGAACTCGATGACGGCAGAGGTCAGGCTGATTTCGCCAAACCTGCCCAACTTCCAAGTCATCCAAGCCTCCTCAGCCTGTCGGCATGAGATGACACCCTGCTGGGAGCCCTTCTTGTGGTCGAAACACTGGCTACCGGATTTAAAGATGACGTTAGAGTGGCCCAATTTCTCGAAGAAGAACGGCAGCTGCAAGGCAGACATAGTCTCTGGGATGGGATCCTGCAGCCAGTTTAGCACTTCAACCACGATCAGCCTTACTGCGCAAGACCAAAACCCAGCTGACACGAAAGTCGGCCGATAATTGCAAGTGAATGTGAGATGCAAGCCCTCATGGCCTTCAGGTCGTCCGAAATGCCCTCGTTCATCTGCGAATGCATGCGGCTGCTCTGCGGCTCATAGTTCCGGATGAAGTCACCACCCTGCCAGAAGGCCTCGCAAGCCCCGGCAAAAGACTTCGGCTGCAGGCCGTGCTTGGGCTTGGTGCCCTTGCCAACGATGCTCCACATGTCCTCCACGACGGAGGGACACGCACGCAGGAACGACGGGGGCACGTAGAATCCACAGATCTTGCAGCATTCGGCATCGGCCATACCTGCACCAAGCATTCACGAGAGACAGTGCTAACCACGCCGAGTCATCAGCCACTCACGCTGTGGATACAGATTTCTTGGTGCATGCAGTCTAATGCTCCAGCGGACATGAGCGGACTATCCCTGAGAATACTCACTGAGCCCACGACCCGGGTTGTTGCCGCTGGCCGGGGCCAGGAAAGAGCACATCGTGCCACGGCCATCGAGACTGTGTCGATCGAAACGACAAGTGGGGTAGGCGATGTTCATCTCGTCATTTTCAACGTTGATGTGGTACACCATGGCATCCATTGATCTCGCGTCACTGCACATGGACATGTTGGTGCCGGTGTGGGACTCGGCGGCAAAGCGTGTAGCGGTAGCCAGGTAGTCGTGGCCCGCCTTCGGCTTCATGATGTAGTCCACCAGCAGGTGCTTGCCGCTCCTCAGGACAATCAACCGGGCATGCCCCAACACTGACAGAAACATGCTCAGGTCTTGATGACGAACACTGCAAGAATTCATGCCAAGTGACGTAATCAGGGTGGTCTCGTCCAGAGACAGGTCTGCATATCGACTGGACTGGTCCAGCGCACGGCGTGCCACACGGGTGTCCTGCACCAGCACCAGCAGCGGCAAACGGTGCAAGCCGAGCTCAACTCGTTCATGGCAAAGTCTGAACGGTGCGAGTGCTTCAGGGTCGGCCTGTTTGACATCTCATCAACGGTGCAACGACAAGTACAAAACCCGCCGTAAGCGGGATGGAAACTCCTGGCCACTCTTCTTGATGCAAGATTAACTTCCATACCATTCACTTTCTTATGCTCTGATCGGGATTCGCTGCTAGGGGCCGAGTCTAACAGGGACGCTGATTCCAACACTCACAAAGCCACTTTATGCCGGAATGCCGGCTTTACTTGCAAACAGCAGCCCGCACCTGGGCTTTGGTGTTGAGCTTGGCCTCGACATTGAGATAACAGTTTCGTGTTGCAACAGGTCTGTCCATGCGTGTGATGAACATCAAGCGGCTACATCAACATAGTGCGAACTGAAAAATGCCACGAGATAGACTTCACTTCTCATGTGGGAATTCCGGCCTCCATCCACTTGACTGAAAGCGAGTCCCACCTCAAGGCCAATGTGCGTATGTTTATGTATACATATTCATGGTCGTACACGTGCACCGTAAACCGTATACCTGCACGTGCATGTGTCTGTGATGCTAGCCCAGTCCTCCCCTGTCGCAGAATGGGCGATTCATCTCCAGAAAACTGTACGGTTTGAGGGGTCCTGGTTTGAGCATGCTGCACCGCTGCTGCACATCGATTCCATATCGTAAACGCGACGCCCCATTATAGACGATGGCAGTTGGCCTCGCATCTTAAGTCCGATGCCTCAACTGACGATGGCGGTTGATCTCAAACCTGCCCTCTCACTAAGCGGTGGCTTATGCTCTCGAATCTTAAACCGTTCTCTCATTCGGCGATGGTGGTTGAGCCCATATTCGAGAAAAATAGCCCTGATTAGACAATGGCGGTTGATCCCATTTCCTTAACTCCCCCCTCATCGCGCGATGGTGGTTTAGTTCATTTCTGAAACCCGACACCTCACTAAGCGATGGCGGTTGATGTCATGTCATGCGTCATTAAACTCGACGCCTCCTGAGACGATGGCGGTTGATCTCATATCGTAAACTCGGTTGATCCCACATCAAACCACCCCCTTCATCGGGCGATGGCAGTTGACCTGATAGGTTAGACCCGACCCCTCATGAGGCCATGACGGTTTTCCTGCATCTGAAACACGACACATCAATAGGCGATGGCGGTTAATCCCCATTGTTTACTCTCGCTCCCTCTTAGCGATGGTTGATCCCATATTTTAAAGCCGCACCCTCCCCTTTTCGATCCCGGGCCGCAGCTGTCCGGCTGGTGGCAAGTTTACGTTTTCATAGGAAAACCGATTAATTTTCTCAAAACCTCCTAGTCAAATGCCACCAGCCATTCTGCGCAAGCCTTTGAGCCTGAGAGGGAACAGCATGGCTCAGTTCCAGTTCCGGAATTTCGGGGACTTGAGCCAAGCAATCTGACGAAACTCGAATGATGCTCGTGTGACACCTGGCATGCAGGCATCGGAGACTGAGGGTGAGGGCTCTTTGGGCCCTTGCCTGGCACAAAAGCGGCTTTTAAGGGCTTTGGCTGTTTGGGTTTTTTTGGGGCATCTGTTGCCGGGGGCCTTGTCGGAGATCTTGGCCACGATGCCCTCGTCCTCTGCCCTCAACTCTGTGGCCAGCAAGTCAAGCTTGAGACATGTATTCATGCTCGAAGGCCTTCCTGACTAACTTCAGTTCCTCTCTGTGAGAGACCAACGGTCAGCAAGCTTGCAGACTCATGCCGAGGGCGCCACCTGACCGAGAACGCGTGGTGTGATAAAGCCTGACATCAACATTTGGTCAAGCGAGTGTTGCAGGCGACACTAATTTATCCATAATTACTCGGTTTGATCTCCGGTGTCTGCATCCACATCTACACACCTGAGATGCGAAATTATGCGGTCAAACTCGTTGAGATCTGTAAAGATCCTGGACACCTGGTGCATCGGGAATCCACGCAACAAGAGACTGACAGAAGACAGAAAACCAGCTCTGACAAGAAATGCGAGTCAGCTAGGCTTTGAGCTCTTCGGTCGCCCGAACAAGACTGCCTCGTGACAGAAGTTTCCGGGCTGCAGTAGACCCGTTAAACCTGGCTCCCATAGCGGAGGGCTGCCTTGTACCAGCATAAAGCCAGTAGAGGTCGCGCACCACCCGAAACGACTCCTTTGATTCGATAAACGACTTCCACCACGGCTCCAAGTAGCTGAATAAACGCAAAACCTATCACCTGAAGCTCTAAAGCGTGGAATACAGCATTTTTTGAAGAAGGGATGTGGTGCACAAAGACTGTAGAGCAAAAAACCTGAAACCGATTTGGTAACCAGGACCCTCTGTCGATACCCGACACCGTACGAGAATCTGCTGCTAATCCGAAGCTCCGCTCCCGATGCCCGCTCCATGCTCGCGAGCATTGCAGTGTGAGACTACGAATTTCTGCCCATCGCCAGCTATTGCACTGGGAGAGGTTACGATTCCAAGTTTCTGCCTCCCAACTAGCGCTTCAATAGAGTCAATAGAGACGTTCTCACATCCATTGCGAGCCTCAGCACGACCAGACGAAACCGAAGCAAAACATATTGGACATCAATGGCCAAGCGTTTGAAGATGATGGTCAACGATTCCTCATTGAAGGTTTTGGTCTCAAAACCTTCGGCATAAAATTTCCTCCGCGCAAGATAAGTCGACCTCCCCTAGAACACTCGCCCCACTTCGCCCTCTCCCTTTCTGGCGAATGCAAGATAAGTGAATCCAAAGGTGCGAATCCTCCAAGCTGGCGAAACTCCTTTGGAACTTGCGAGACATGGAACACAAGTCTGAGGGCATGGCATGCCATCACCTCCGGAGTACGTCTGTTTGAGTGTGTCGTCGGAGTCCCACAAACATTGTTCCAAGGACTTGGGGCTTAGGCGAAAAGCTCCCAAAATCCAAAAACCTCCGATAGCAGGGGCTCGTTCCGGCATGCGGAGTCCTTTCTCTGTCAGTGATCTTGACTCGACTTAACGCTGTGTGACTCTTTACTCCTGCAAAATCTGCTTCCGGGCCGCGGACGGTTGTGATCCCAGATGATAATCTTCACCCTGCTGGGATCAGCGGCCTGGCAGGCTTCGTCCAGAAACTCCTGCGCTGCTTTGGGATTCCCAACACACGTCATAGGGAGTCACGCGACTCGGCGAGATCCTTTCACGTGGGTCTGAGATGTCTGAGCTCACTCTGCTGCCAAGTCTTGTCTCCCCTGGCCTCGAGGGCGGGGCCGAAGTGGTCTCGCACAAAATCGCTCTCCTCCTGGCACGGGGTGTGTGCGAGGCAACTCATAGCACGTACGTTGGAAGAGAAGAGAGTGAGACAGGAGAGCGCGTAATCAGCCTCGAAAACACTCCCTACGAGCATGAAGATCCTCAGACTTGATCTGACGAGTGGCAGCATCACGCACGATGACGAATGCATATGTAGATTGTAGCTGTCTCAAAACACAAGAGTCCTTCGACTACAGCAATGATCTAGGCTGGGAGAGCAAAGACTTCTGCAGCTCTTGAGCTTTGGGCTCAGCCCGAGCTTCCCAGGGCCCAGACCCTTCACGGATTCTGGGAGCCTCCGCTGTGTAGATGCAGGATTCCCAGATCTGCGCCGCTTGGGGCTCGTTCTGGGCCGAAATCAGGCTCTTCAGCTGGACTCGCGAAGACAAGTGGCTACGGTCAAGGCCAGGGCAGGGCTATCCAGGGTTCAAGCTGGAGTCTGCAGGGTTCGGCGTATTCGCTGTAGCCGCGGGCTTGACAATGCATTCTGTTGGCTTCATACGGTATGCACTGGTTTGCGTGTTCAGGCGGCCCCAAACATGCGATGACCTCGAACTGCCGGCAGTGAGCGGAAGAAAGACTTCTTGAAACTCCACTGCTGCCCAAACTTTCCACCCCCGAGCCGTGAACGGAAATCTTGAATCCCAGCCAAGACGAAAGCCCAGGATTGAGAGACTTCTGCAATCCGAGCTGAAACAGCCAAGTTCAGCAACCCGAGGCCCTGCCAAGCACCGCGGAACCGTGGCAAACTATGGAACCCGAGATGGAAAAGGCCTGACATAGCCTTCTGACTGGCTGTTTTGTAGCACTAGACGGCCCACATGATGTGGAACCAGAGATGCACAGAAGTCCTGCTGAAATGAGGGTCTGGCGAGGGCTCTGCAGTGCAGCAGAACTCGCAGTGCCTCGCACGGGCTTGTGCCCTACGTCATCTTCAAACGACACGCTCTGATGGAGGCCCATGACCCTGACCCTGACAAAGAACCTTGTCTTAGCACAAATGTCTCGGGAATTCTTGTCTCGGATCCGAAGGCTTCATGAATGGCGCAGGAACTTGAATGAAGCCTGTGGCTCGGGAAACGAGGAACACGCGCGCCTACGAAACCTTCATGAGATGCTGCCCTCCCCCGGCCTGTGTAAAGTGATGTATACAGTACACACTTTCTCAAGCCTCGGACTTTCCCGCCCTTCGTAGCGCCAGCTGGACCAAAAAAGACCTGAGCTATTCGGCACAGCAAGGACAGGTTGCAAGCTCGCTGAAGTTCTCCAGTCCAGCTCACGGTCATGCGGTTTCTTCTGTCGGCGGCATGCGCTGTAAGACTCGCACAGCAACTTCTGGTCCCTGTCACGGGCAAACCTCTGATATACGAAGATGCCGAAGACCAAAACGGCCTCGACAGAAACAACAAATGTTGATGGCTGGTGCCCTCAGCAGGGACACTGCATCCGCTGTCTCCGCCTGACTGGGGCCCCTCAGCTGCCGTGACGAAGATGGCCTTCGGTAAAGCTTGCAGGGGTTTTGTGTGTGTGTGTGTGTGTGTGATGCATGTGGCATCGGCTGCATCGCTCCTTATGGTGCTGATCTGCCGCCGAACAACCGTCGGTGTCCGGCTGTGCCAAAGCCATCCCCGCAAAAAAGAAGGAGGGACAACTGCACCAGAACCCTAAACCCTAAAAGTGTTCTTCCCTGTGGCTTTCCTTTCCATAGAAAAGGCCCCATGCTCAAAAAGCAGCGGGTCCTTCGATCCGGAGCGCAACAAAATTCGTCACATCTCTTCACGAAGTCTGTACGCACAAGACATTATGGAGTTTTGCAGCGCTGTGCTCGGCTGCCAACTCTTGCGCTGGTACAGCAGAAAAACAAACTCGGCTTTGGCCTCTCGTACAATGCATGGTACCAAAGAATCCAATGAGTCGTTCATTTTGCTTTGAAGCCGACTCTCTCAAGCTGTCCACGTAGTTCCGACTTTCACTTCAGCCATGCTCTTACTCGAAATCTTATTTCGGGTGCGTGCTTGGGAGTCGAAGTCGATGCTGCGATGCTGCACACAGGCCTGGCGGTTTTCGTCCACCCAAGCATGCAAAGCTTCTCGAAACATCACCATGCACCTCAACTCTCAGTCACTCTCAGTGCTCTCCGTCAGTGCCGCAAAAGAACCGACGCAGACCCCGATTTCTCACTGAGTTGGTCGCGCGAATCCGAGGAGACCCAGGCTAGGCAAAGCGAACACCTTCCGCATGCGAGCCGCAGATAAAGCATCTAAGAACCTCAAGATTCTCTCTGATCAGCGAGCTTACTCCTGATACTCCTAGAAATTAGGGCTGCTGCACCCGGGCAAGTACGCTTTTCGCTGGTGCTGCTGTTGGCAGGTCGGAGTAGAGACCTCTTGTCTCTGGAAGGTACATTTGCTCACTTCTGCACCCCAAATCAGATCACCTCCCAACCACGCGCTGAGCAGCGTGCTGCAGGCCTGGAGGGGAAGTCTATTCCCGTAGCTGGGCATTCTCGAGATGTGACAGTGAGGGTAGTGCTTGCACGTGATAGCTCCAAAGCACTAATGCTGACCATCCAACAGAAATTTCACGAACTCTGAACCCCAAAGTAACCCTAAATCCACACATGGAAACATGCTGCCACAGCCCCAAACCGTGCATTCTAAACCGGCCGTAGGTACAGTACCCTAGCTGGACCTTCAGTCGTGCACGACACACGCCACAACCCCCCCCCCAACTTGACAAATATCCCAGCGGCGGCTTTGCGGCGACCGGTGGCCGCGCTGCATCTTGGCTGGGGGGCGGTGTAGGGATCATGGTCTAATTGGCTTTGGGACGAAGATCAAGGTTATGTTCTTTGACGCTTACACTGGGGTTGGTTAGGGATCTGACCTCTTTCGGCATCAAAGTGGGTCGCAAAACCCGGGGATTCCGGGCACCATACCTCCATGCGCGGTTTAAGGATTTCGGGGCTTTTACAGTGTATGGCTCGGGGTCTGTAATGTTGGCTTTGCTAATTACGGGCTCTCGCCCTCTGGCCAAGGCGCCTTCGTTTTCTTGCGACCTGGCAAAAACACAGACTGGCCAAGTGGCCACCTGTCACAAACGTATCAGAATCATTCGCACCAGTCTTTTTATTTTGGTGGTCGTCTGCAGGTGCCTGGAACAACAGGCAGAAAGGCATGAGCAGTGCTTGAGGATCGGAAAGCGGCAGTGTTCGGTCTCAACATCACACTGTAACGGGAAGCCGCGACTTCCGGCAGGGGGCCTGGATAGCATCGGGTATGCGCGAGTATATGCGCGAGCATGCGCGGGTATGTGCAGGTATGTGCGAGTATGCGCAAGTATGCGCGGGTATATGCGCGGGATTGTGCGGGTATGTGCGGCACGAGACTGCGGCGAGAAAGGGGTGTGCCTGTATCATCCCAAGTGTATCGTCATGGTAGGCAGCAGTCAAAACTGTGAACAACCTACGTAACACACCACACCAAGACACCCAAACCAACCCATGATGGTAGTCCAGTTGGGGACCACTCGACATACCTCCAATCGCAACGCGAGATCAACAGCGATACCACCCTCCTCCTCCAACAAGAAGTAGTAGTAGTAGTAGTAGTAGTAGTCGTCGTCGTAGTGGTAGTGGTAGTGGTAGTGGTCGTGGTCGTGGTAGTGGTAGTGGCAGTCGCAGTAGTAGTAGTAGTAGTAGTAGTAGTAGTAGTAGTAGTAGTAGTAGTAGTAGTCGTAGTCGTAGTCGTAGTCGTAGTCGTAGTCGTCGTCGTAGTCGTAGTAGTAGTAGTAGTAGTAGTAGTAGTAG